CCTTTTTTTTTTTTTTTTTTTTTTTTTTTTTTTTTTTTTTTTTGTGGCGTAGTCTCATGAGACGTTGATAAACGGGCGTTTATTAAATATAATTAGCTTTTTCATCCAATCATCTGCTATCACCTCAAATTATGTCATTGCTTCTATTAAATTTGGGTAAATCTTCTTGGACAAGGTCATGTTGAACAGGTGCCGAATTGGCGGCGACGGACAGGAAACCCATTAATGTCTTTGACAAAATCCATTTTTAAAACCTTCCAAAACCAGTATAAGTAATTTGCGACATATTTGTGAAATCTCATATTTGAGAATTTTTGGATTGTTCTTCCAATTTTACCCTCTTTCAAATAATTATTCTCAACCCACATATTATTTAAAACTAACTTGTAACAAAAATATTATGACTTAAAAAATTCATTAAAGAAGCAAAAAATTACTTTATAACTAAGTAAATAAATTAAAATTACTTTTGTGTAAAAAATTGCTTACAAAGTAAAATACTACTAATAGGACAAAACTTATAAAATATTAAAAGTTACTTATAAATTAAAATTATTTATAAACAAAATAAATTTATAACCATAAAGTTTAGGATTACTTATAACCTAAAATTTTAATTATAAGTAAATATTTCTCTTTTTAAGTTAAAAATTGACTTAATATATGGAAAAATTACTTATAAGTAAAATCAAATGCCACTTAGGCCATATTTGAGCCATATTTTTCAGAAAAATACATTCTTAAATATTGATTTGATATTATTTCAACTACATATTTTTCAATAAAATAATATTACACGTAAATCTAAAACTTTTTTTTTAATCACACATTTTACATCAATACACAATTCAGAAATGCATTCTAAGGAAAATAATGTGGCTCAAACAAGGGCTTATGAGTAAAAACATTCCGCGCCAAAAAATAAAAAATAAATAAATAATCATAAATTGAAAGTTTCATTAAGGGGCATGTATGCAATGTTATTCTTTACTAAAACTTAAATACCCGGATGATAAATTTCAAAGTATTGGTCCCAAAATGGAACGCCCCCGTGAATGTCCAAAATTGGTACTCAAAACTTCCAAACAAGCCCTTATGCTTGGTGTTTGTTGATTGGATAAATCTATATGTACATAATTTTTTGTACATAAAGGTATTTTTCACTCATATGAGATGGGATCCATCATAATAAAATATTCGGACGAACCCCACCCCATGTGAGTGGAGGATACCTTGATGTACAAAACATCATGTACATCAAGCAATGCCCTTGTTGATTTTGAAGTCAATTTGCTGAATTAGAAACCCACCATAAACCTATTTTGTTTGTGGGATGTCGTCGTGAAGTTACTATTTTTATTAATGAAAACCGAGGATCGAATAAAAATATATTTAACAGTGACAAAATTGTTCTGCTTTTCTAGCTGGAATAGAAATCTTATTGTTTTGTCTTGTTCGACCAAATTTATCTGTATTCTAAATTGTTCTATAAAAATTTAACCATGCGAGACAGGCGAGGCCTTGGATGAACTGAAGAAAAATCTGAATGATCCGAACGGCGTTCTTCGGAGTTGGGATCCTGTCAATATGACCCCGTGCGATTTTTTTCGTGTTACATGCAACAGTAACCAAAGTGTTATTAGAGTGTAAGCCTGCACGTTTTTGAATCAAATATCTTAGGTACATAATTTGCTTTTAAATTTCCTGATTATGGATATATTTTTTGAGTTCTTTTACACACAGTGATCTTGGCAATGCAAATTTATCTGGTAAACTGGTTCCACGGCTTGCTCAACTACAATATTTAGAGTACTTGTAAGTCACACTTAGATCAAAATTCGATGCATTAAAATTTTTGTTCTTTCTTTTTTTCAGTTAATTTTTTACACATTATCCATGATAAGAA